TTCTGCATTCTTTCTGCAGCAGACCCACAGCTTCAGGGACTGAGAATACAGGAAGGACAGGTGATAGTGAGGAAAGACACGCAGAGCAGGATCAGCAGGAGGCGGTGGTGCATGTTGTGTCTCAGTGCTGCTGCAGTCCAGTTTGTGCCGCAGTTGAAGGGAGTGTTGGTGCTAATTTTGTAGCACCTCTTCTCAGAGCCTTCCAGTCATTTCGAGGGAGGATCAGGAGGTTCTTCAGAAGGACCTCTGCGATGGAAAACTGTTCCTCCTCTGTTTTCCAGGAGGCTGCTCCCTCTGCAGATGCTCCTCCTACATGTAAAAGTAGGGATGTGGCACCAAACGTGTCACTCTGTGGGCCGGTGGTTGAGGCAGAACCTGTGCTCCCTCAGCCCGCAAGACACCAGGAGACGGAGGCTTCAGCTCCCCTTCGGATTCCCAAAGTCCTCCATTTTTTTCGATTTTTAATTTTCTGCATAATTTGAACATGGCTGCTGTTCTTTACTTTGTTTGAAAATTTATTGATGATTGGACCAATAGAAGTGCTGCAGAACTGCTTGGAATAAAATCTCTTTGCATTAACGTACATTGAAAGTAAACAACGTTTTTGCCCTCTCCTGTAAAGTTATTGTTTTGGAGATACTTCTTTTTCTTTGGACAGCAATGATGTACTGGAGGCCTGTTCATAAATATTAGAGCTCCAGGCTATAGACAAAAAAAATAATTATATGGACATGATGTTAGAGAAAGAAAGAACGCTATAAAGCAGGTATTGTTAATTTCAAACTATACCTTGAAGAAATGCATCAACATCCAGTGTCACCGACTATCATCACCAAATGACAGCTGCACAAATCTTCATTAAAAATGTAAATTCTTCATAAACCAAGATTGCTTATATTATACTATATTATAACTGTAAAAGGCCACTCTTGAGGGGTATTTGTCAGTAAACCACTAATATGCATAGTAATATATGGTAATATATAATAAGATTCAACTTTAATATAATTTCTGCATTCTTTCTGCAGCAGTCTCACAGCTTTGGGGACTGAGAATACAGGGAGGACAGCTGATAGTGAGGAAGGACACATAATGCAGGATCAGCAGGAGGTGGTAGTGAACGTTGTGTCTCAGTGCTGCTGCAGTCTAGTTTGTGCCGTAGTTGAAGGGAGGGTTAGTGCTAATATTGTAGCACCTCTTCTCAGAGCTTCCCAGTCACTTCGAGGGAGGATCAGGAGGTTCTTCAGAAGGACCTCTGCGACAGAAAACTCCTCCTCCTCTGTTTCCCAGGAAGCTGCTTCCTCTGCAGATGCTCCTCCTACGTGTGTAACTGGGGATGTGGCAGTGAACGTCTCGCTCCGTGGGCCAGTGGTTGATGCAGAACCTGTGCTCCCTCAGCCCACAGTGATGCAGGACACCAGCAGACGGAGGCTTCAGCTCCCCTTTGGGTTCCCAAAATGCTTTAAGGTCTGTGGAATTTTTCCTTTTACCGAGTTTAAACTGATTTAAATATTTGTTAGAAATGTTTGAGTTGGTTAATCCTGTGATTTTGTCCCTGGAACAGATACTGAGGAAGAGAAAGAGGGTAGAGCATTTTGAGGCAGTTGATGAAGACTAACAGAGCTCCAGGTAACTTCTGAGTGAGCGTTTAAACAGTGGAGAACATAGTGATGCTGTTAAGGACATGGAAGATTTCCTGCCTTCAGCAGGACACACATATTTTTCACCATAGGAGCAATATTTAATGTACAACTTCATATTTTTCACTTCTGCAGCAGCTTTCTCTACAGGATGCAGAGAAGGCTGGGTTCCTGTAATGCCCTGCTGTCTGGTTGTTCTAGCAAAAGTCTTAACAAGCTTCAGTTAGTCCAGAATGCTGCCTCACAAGAACTATAATAATAATAATAATAGTATAGTTACATCAGGGGGTAGAGCCTTTTCATACAAAGCCCCCCCCCAGCTTTGGAAGAATCTTCAAGTCAGTGATCGGGACTCAGACACATACTCAGTTTTTAAGTCTAGGCTTAAAAACCTACTTAGCCAAGCTTTTGGTAATTAGCTTTTCCTGTTAGTGAAAGGGTGCAGATTTTGGGGGTTCATTGACGTAGAGTACTACGGTGACTGTGAGTGTTGGTGCTGTTGTTCTGCTGCTCTCACACCTTCACTGTAATACTAACACTGTCAGATCTTGGCCTGCCGGAGTCTCTCTTTCACTTTCTTAACACTAATCAGTCTGTTTTAACAGAACTAACTGCTTGTGTGTTTCTCTGCCGAGCTGAATAACTGCCCATCCTGTGCGGTCTGATGCTGTTGCTTCATCTGCCTTGATCGGGTGCCCACTGCTCGCCTGTTGCTCGGACCAGTCTGACCACCATGGAGCGTCCTCTTGTACAATGCTCTGTAAACCTCACCTGCATGAACTGACCCTCCCGCTGCTGCTGCATTTCTTTTTTTTTTTTATCATAGACATTACTACTCCTGCTTTTCCTTTCTTTCTGTATCTTATACTAATGGTCAAATCTCATTTTCTGCTGTTATTGTTTGCTATCCGGTATCAACCAGAGGAGGATGGGTTCCCTTTTTGAGTCTTGGTTCCTCTCAAGGTTTCTTCCTCTTGCTCTTAGGGAGTTTTTCCTTGCCACTGTCTCCACTGGCTTGGTCACTGGGGGCTTGGACTGGGTTTTTTTTCTATGAAGCTGCTTTGTGACAACGCCTGTTGTAAGAAGTGCTATATAAATAAACTTTGACTTGACATTCATCAGCCTAGCATTATACTGCAGTGTTTGAGTCCCATGGTGCTTCAGGTCCTCTCACGAACCAACCTGGCCACCAGCCTTCAGAGAAATGTTACCTTTCAGAGAGGTTAAATAATTATAGAACAGAAAATATTCCACTTTCCAAAATCATTTTGTGTGAGTTCTACACTGAAAATAACATCCCATTACATTAGAAGACAGCCCATAGATCATTTTTAATGATAAAAAATAACTTAAAACTAACCCATATGGAAAAAAAATATATGGACATGTATTTTTAAACATTTGAAATTTGAAAAATTTCAAGCACGTTACAGTCCATGCTGAAACGTGTTCCAAACAATAAAATGTATTTCAGAATATACTGCAATACTAAACAAATAATTTTAAATTTCATTTTTTAAACTGTATAGGGAAATATTGCACATAGAAATGTAACATAAAAATACATTTTGGTCATTTTTACACATTGCAAAATATATATATAATAAAGACATTTGGAATATATTTTTCCTATATGGGAATAGTCCCATTAAAAGGTTTTCATTTTGATCATGAAACAGTGTCTCTACAACACATTGTTCTCAGCCGAATGCAGTTTTTTAATTCAGTCAATCACTTAATATGGCCAGGTGATGAGGCTCTATATTCTACTTCAAACCTCAAAAAACACTTCAAAACACCTTTGGCCTTGTTCACCTTGTTAAGTGTGAGAGAGTGGACATTGGAAAGCCCTCACAAATAACAACGCATCATTACCTGCAACATTTATATCAGCACTGAGTAGTAAAATAGTCCCAGATGAGTTATAAGATAATACATATATTTTCAACATGGACTATTTCCCTAATCTGTCAGCTCTGTGTGATGATTTTTGGCAACATTGCAAAAAAAAACTCCCTTTTGTGTTTTTCTATTTCTGAATTATTTCCCAGTGACACCTGAAGACCCTGGGAACCCAAATCTGTTCCCTGGGAACCTAAATCTGTGTTTTCTTTCTGATTAGGTTAGTCTTGTTCTTGCAGGCAAACAGTAAACTAAGTGTACTAAGTTTACACATTAAATAATGTCCGAGTGACCAATAAATGACCAATATATTTCACCATATTGTTCTCCTCTCCATATAAACTGGGCGGTCCTAATCTTGGGTAACGCTTCTGTATTCATTTCCCTGACCAATCACAAGGCTGCATCTCTTGCCCCGCCCTAACCTAGCATAACCGAAAGCTAGTGAACTAGCGGAGCAGGCTAGGGGTGTTAGACAGAGAGCTGTCAACGAGCTGCTCATTAGCCACGCCCACACAGTTCTCAGAAAGGGCTGATCATGTCGTGTTTTATCATATTTATATCTTATATTTTTCTTTAATTTTTTCGTGGATGTTTAATAGAACACTCACATTAGTATCATACAAACATCTTTATTTTAATTTACGTTCCCTGCGACTTCAAGTATTTTGAAGTAGCTGCTGCGCAGACTGCATTTATTTTTAGAATAAACTATTGATTTCCACAAAAAAAAAGTGTTTTAAAAAGCATTTTTAAACCGCTTAAAAGGCTCGGTGCAACTGCTCCGTTACCGAAATTACAAATTATTACAAACTATTACATTGGTGGACCACTTTTCCCTTTTCTCTTAGTGTCTGAATTGTACAGGTCAGGTCGATCAGGTGCTCCACCTCTGAAATATAAATGCACAAAGAGTACATACTTACCATGTGGGTAGTAAGCACATAGGGCAGCAGGGGGCGATGTTTGGTTTTCCCCTTCAGAAGAGAAGCGTAATTGCGGTATGTGTAATTACGGACCTATAACACATAACTCGGCAAACAGTATAACTCACACACAAAAATGTGAGAATCAAGCACGTAGAGTGTAGACAAGTCTCGACACGAAGGAATTTTTCCGCGTATGTTCAAAAGTTATATGCTCGTAATTTATGAGTTTTACGGTAAGGAGAAAAATGCACATATTGTATGCGTTCGTTTAACGCAGCCGCTGGGCTGGAGCTGCGATTCAAAAATAAGCTACATATTACATTATAAAAACACCGTAACGACTACGAATAGTTTTATATTTAAGGCCTTTTATTGGCATCTTTGAACGTCCTGTCGCTCACATTCCTTTGCCGAAGCGATATTGTGCGATCTACATTACAAAAACACTGCCCTAGGATGGTGGGTGTAGTTTTAAGATCATCGAATCTGCGCATAAGGGGGTAAAACTTGAGTCGACTGAACGCTCCCGGCGTGTTTAACCCGGACATGTCTGGTGTGTTGCGGAGGAGGGATGTTGACATCTGTCCTCTGATAAAATGTTTCGTCTCTGCCAACAAGCGGTTTTTGTGCACAAACAGCGGAGCGGCTTCGGATTCAGGTACAAAGCAGAAGAGTGATTCTGAAATACACGCTGTCTGTTCTGTGCGTTAATATTCAGGGATGGATATTGACGAAGTGAAAAGCTCATTCGGATTTTCCGTTCCACCTTAAATGACGCAGCGGTTAACAGGCGCCACACGTGCACCCGAACAGAATTGCGGCGCTGTTTAAGGAGGAACGGAACATTTGAATATAAATGTGCCAAACGAGTAGCCAAATTCAGTCTCTTGTTATATTGAGAGGATGGTGCTGATTCGCGTGGTGTCATAGCCGACTTTACTGAGCTGAACCGGTTTATTTACTGCAGTACTGTTTTGTTTTTAGTCATGTGTATGACGTAGGTGCACTGGGGTGACCACATTGATTGCTTTATAAGTATCATTACTTCATTTTATTTCGCTTCTTTACGTTGTATGTTGGTCCTCTGCGGAACCCCTAAGGTGGCATGGTCATTATTTTTAATAAGGCATGATTACAAATTAATATATTGGCAACACGTGACTATATCGAGGCCACTAGTTACGTTTCTTATAGCTCCTGGCCTAAATATAGTAAATTGTGCCCTCAGTATATTGATTCCTGGATCAATATATTAATTTGTGGCCCCAATGTAGTCAGTTGTGGTCTCTATATAATAATTTCTGAACTCAATATAGGAATCTGTGGCCTTAATAAATTAATTTGCGGCCTCAGTATAGTAAATTGTGGCCTCAATATAGTAATTTGTGGCTTCAAAATATTAATTTGTGGCCTCAATGTAGTAAATTGCGGCCTCAGTATAGTAATTCGTGGCCACACCTTATTAAAAAATAATCACCACATCACCTTAGGGGCTACATATTTCCCTCAGAAAAACGTTACTATAATAATACTATACATATATGATCTCTTGAAATTCTTATGACTATGCAATTTCCCTAGTGCTGTATAATATTTCTATAATTATTTATTACATGTTCCTGCAGTACTGTCTTATTGCAATGTGTGATACTTGTGTAGCATCCTGTGATAAACTGTAATAATTCCCTGTAATTTTTGCTGTGAGATTCTTGTAAGTAATGTAAGTACTATTACTATTGATCAGGTTAATATGGGTTATTATCTGCACAGAGTGACAGAGTGTGTCCCAGGTGCTGCTGGGGTTAAAACAGACTTTGAATCAAAAATGTGCCTTCAAAATGTTTTGCCTGCATTTACATGTTTAGAAATACATGAATGCAACATTCACATGAATTCACAAGGTCAGTGGAGTAGTAGTAGTAGACATTCGTATATTCTTCTCAGGTTTCACATATATGTGTTATTTTTGCTGAAACATCCATCTGTCATTGGTTTCTAAAAGCACAGTACCTAATATTTCTGCAAAATAATTGCAAAACTAACTGTGATAACGTATGCCTAGTTTAATGGTTGAGATGTAACCATAGTCATTTAGAGTGATTTGATGTGAAATGACACATTTTAAAGAAACTTAAAGACAAATTACAGATTTCTTTACGGTGGTGGTGATAGGAACCAGGGGTCGCCATGACTACAACACAAATGTACCATTTTATTTACTATCCAAAACGACCAGTGTCTTCTGAGTTTTTATATGTAGTGTTAAAGATTATAAAATAGTGATGATCATGAAAAAATAGGTTTACTTTGGGGCTATTTTGTCTCACAATGCTCTGCATGTGACATGAATAGATTAAAAAAACTTTCTCAAAACTATCATAAAACAATGTCTCAATCATCAAGTCATCAGGAAATGTATTTATAACCATTTCATTTAATAACTGTCTGTGAGGGAGCTTTTAGAGGTGGACGTCTGGTTCCTATCATCACCACTGTGAACAATTCTGACTCTGTAAATTTCTCTAGAACAGAGCATTTCACCCCAAACCACTCTGAATGACTTTGTTTACATCTTAACCATTTAACAATTCACATTTAATTATGCACAAATTTTGAAAAATTGGTGGAATTCCCCTTCAAAGACTGACAGTGTAACATGTAGATCAGTTGATAGTGGGCATGTCTGATGGGTGTTCTCTTTGAAAATGAGGTTACTGCCAGCATGTATTCTGAAGTGCCATAGAAGAATGTAAATAATCAAGTATGCAGAATTTTGTGCCAAACAGTAACAGTGAAATGCTTCTGTCCATTTTCTTAGCATATTATTATCATTATAAATTTGAGTGGTATTTAATTAAAGGTGTTTCTTTTTGTCTTTTACCTCAGGCTGTATTTTCCTAGCTGTAGCAGTTACTCAACATCTCAAGCCAGACTTGGTGTTCTTCAGAGAGTAAGTGACAAGTATGAGCGCTTCTTGGAGCAACAATTTCCTCGATTTTATATCTTATACCACACCCTCAGGAGAGGTAAGCATGACCTAATCCTCCAGTGTGACCATAGCTTATACAGGTTGACATGCCTGAGTAGTAATTAAACTGCCAACTAAATTAACTGGCACATACAAAGTAGGCGTTTACGAGAATTTTGTCTCAGAGACGTGATGGGAAGCAATGCAGCTGTTTTCTGTTTGTGCTGAGTTATTTAAACTATTGCTTTTAATATAATCTAAATATGCTACAGTAACATATATTAAACAATGTTTACCTAGACTAGACCAGATTTGAGGATGCTTGTTGTGTCCTTAAAGAGGAATTCCACGGATTTTTCAAAATTTCAGCATAATTCAGTAGTTGAGATGTAAAGAGTCGAATGGTTTATTGTAGAGAATCAGATTTCTTTACAGTGATGGTGATAGGAACCAGGGGTCGCCATGGCTACAAAACCAGTATAGACATTTTATTTACTATTCAAAACCACCAGTGAACCTACATGTGTCTTCTGAATTTTATATGGAATGTTGATGATGGTAAAATAGTGGAAAATATGAAAAAATGTTTTCTTTTAATTTTTTGCCTCACAACACCCTGCATGTACCACTTTACTGTGAATGTATGTAAAATATTAATTATAGTGAAAATTGGTGGAATTCCCCTTTAATGTGCCAAACCTCTGTTTTAGGGTTCCAGCTTCTCTTTGAAGATGTAAAAGAGGTCAGAAGAATAAAGAGGATCATGCGTAGTAATAACATCCACCACAGAGAGCTCCCATATCGAGACATGGAGAGGCTTATCCTGGTAAGCCTGTTTCTCCCAGACAGTTTGCTTCTAGTAATGTTGTGAAGGATTCTAATCAATCTTAATCCTCTGTCATCTAATTATCAAGACCTAAGTGGAATGAAGTTCTTTTAGAATCAGAATCACTTTGTTTCACCAAGTATGTTACACATACAAGGAGTTAGTCTTGGTCAGCCACACATGTATGACATGTAACAGACTGAACAGATCAGCCAGGAACACAGACTGTTAACAAGTGTTTAACTAAGAGGAAAAATAAAATAAAATACAATACTTAGCAGAAAGAATAAAGAATAGTAAAGAGCCTTGTGAATGGAGCTAAAAAGACATATGAATATCTGTACATATGCAGGTCTGAGTGGATATATAGTATAAAAACTATTATATATAGAATATTACAGAATGATATGAACATTTGCAAAAAACTTTAGAGCAGGAAAAACACGAAACGAAGCAAGTGAGTTTGCCGAACCCCTGCATTAGCAGGCTTTCCGAACCAGCTTCTTGGGATGCTCTAAATATATTAACAGGCTAAACTGAAAAATAAGCTGCTAACGCCAAAATACCCCACACATACCAGCAAGCCCTGTGTGTTTGTGGTAGCTAAGTTGCTTTGGCAGTCGTAGAGTATATTCGGAGTAGCTGGTGTTGGTATAAGGACTATTCTACCAAATTAGTTTAAACTGCAGCCACACAGTGAAAAAGCTATGTAAAAAAAAAGAAATATTCAGACCTTTGATATTTACAAGAATTATGTCAAGATCTATTTAATCTAAGACGTTAATTGTGATTTGTTATAAGTTTCATTTTTAATTAATTAGTTTATTTATAAATAAAAATACTTCAAAAAAATGCTGTCCTGTTTTCATGTCATTACGGAAACACAAAGATTTAGTCTGTAGGCAGAGCCTTATTTTAGCTACGCCCCTGCATTTTAGAGCAGAAAGTGAAATTGCATCCTTGTCCCATTATTTTGAAGTAAATGTGTCCCAAGGTATAAAAAACTGTGTGGAACATTAAAAATTGTCACTACCAAGATACAATTTTTTTGTGTTTTAATAAAAATATGATTTTATGTGTGTACAGCTGTTCAAAGCTGTGTTTGCTGGAAAATCTGAATGTGTCAGTAATGGGTTCAGTGTGATTTAATGCACTTGGGTAATCAGATAATGCGGAAACTCCAGGTCTACATGCGTCAGACAGTAATGGGATTTCTGCTTTACAACCAGCCAGTAAACTCACAGAAGAAGACGTGACGTAAACAAAATGTAAAACTGAAATGTCATGGCGCTTTTTTTTTTTTTTTATAGAACATTGCGCCACTTTGATGGAAAAAGATGAACATACAACATCTAGAAGATGAAGATTAAAAGATTTAAATCCTTCATTTCGTTGAGCATGTAGTTGGTTTCAGCATTGCTCCAAAAGTGTTTTATTGCATCTCGTGGATGCTTCATTAAACTCTGCTTGCTGTTTCGGGGACAGTGCTCTATTTTCACACATGCGCAGACTGAGAGAAATGAAAGAAATCAGAATAAGAGTTTACGTGCACTGGAAACCCCATTACTGAGCTCATATCCAGCTTCTTCATCAGATTTCTAGGCCTTAATCTGATCTAAGGAATAGAAGTGAATTGAACTGTATACCACCTGAATAATCAGATAACTGTCAATATCCAAAAATGTACAGACACTTAGTGATGTAAAAACAGTGATGTTTCACTCTTGGTGACCTTAGGCTCATCTGTGGCTCCAGAGTGTCCCATTTTATTGGTCAATACTTTTCTATAGAGATTAGCTCTCCGTGCGGAATTGAATACCTGCATTAAAGTAACTGAATTCACTCATTAGAAGATGCGTCTTAATACTTTTGGACATGCAGTGTATTTCCACAAAATCTATCCTGGAGTTTTAAAGGTTCCTCTGGTAAATGTAGTGTATTAATTTAAGCCTTTTCTGTCTTTCTATCCTGTAGTTTAGAAGAGACATGATTAAAGCCGTTCCACTGGTCGTGATCTCTCTTCCTCCATTTGCCATCGGTTTGGTCTTCGTCCTAATGTGAGTAAGTTTGTATCACCAAGTGTACAACACCAAGTGTACAATTGGGGTAAAGGATTTTAGCTCTCATATTCACTGTAATGGTTGGTTTTCTTTAAAGGAAGCTGACCACTGGATGCATCTCAGATCATTTGACTACTGTTGCTGATAGCAGTGAATGTGATAGCGAAGGTGACTCTGTTTTATGAAAGTGGTCACTTCCCTGTTTTGTCCAGGTGCCTCTTTCCACGGCAGCTACTGTTTCGACACTTCTGGACTCCACAGCAGCAGAGGAAGTTCCAGGCGATTACTCATCTGAAGCGTTCTCAACACCAGGCGGAGATTCTGAAAAACCTTGTCTGGACAATCCCGCGTGTCGACGAGTGGCCCAGGCGTACTTTGCTCTTGAACCTGTGTGCCAAGGTGCCTCTTCTATGGATTTGTCAAATAATCTTGTGGGTTGTTTGTTCTTGGAAGCAAAACCGAAGCATCTGCTCATGTTAAAAGTCATAGAGATTGCTCACACACTTTTTATTTTCTAATACTGAAATCTTGAGTATAGACTGATTCCGATAACGATTTGATATTTTTTATTACCACTAAGCTTGAAGCATTTCTCTTAACTAACAATGCCATTCTTAAAATGCTCAAACACTTCAGGAATACAGGACTATATAGCTGACAACATCATGTATACAAAAAAAGCACATTTTTATTAAGTTAAACAGTCTTAATCAGTTTTCTTTCCAAAAAAAAGGAAATATAAAAAATTAAATATAAATAAATCACTGCTGTCGGAAGAAAACCTCATATCTCCATTTTTGTCATTTTTCAGTTTTTGACATAATTTGAAAATGCATCTTGTCCTTTACATTGTGTTTAAATTTTGTGAAGAATGGACCAAAAGAAACAGCCCAAAATTACTTGGAAAAATGTCTGGTTCCATTGACTTACATTAAAAGGAAAGTATGTTTTTTCCGTCTCCTATAAAGTTACCATTTTGGAGATATGAGGTTTTCATCCGACAACAGCAGTATGAAATATAAAAGTGAAATTCTAGTATAATTCTTGCTATAATGCTTGCTAACATTTTTCTTACGTTAATGTTATGGCCACTGTTATCACATGACCTGCTTTGGTTATAAGGAGACGTGTTTTATGTCACTTTATGTTATGTTACAAGATTTGCTAGATTTGTTACAGAATCAGATCACTTTATTATTTTTACCCTCTGACATCCAGTAGTGCATATCAGATTAGTGTCATCTCTACATTTTACCAATAGGTTATAATAATTATAGTAATATGTTTATTATAAAGTGCTTTTCATAACTGTGGCAAGTTTACAGTTTACAGTTTATGTTTGGTAACAGCAATTTAAGAAAAAGTAATTAAATGAATGAAAGTAAGAAGTATTTTTAAGCAAATTAAACTACAATATGGATGAAATGAATAAGAATAAATACAAAATAAGACAAAGGATTAAATTAACAGCTATATTAAAGAGACATTTTCAGATATTTCTTAAAACTTCTCAAAATGTGAATGTAAATGTAGTAAATGTGAGTATTTGTGTTGCAGATCCAGAGCGGGGCCCATCCCAAGTGTTTCTGAACTCAAAGCCGTACGCGAGGTCTTCTCTGGCGCTCCACTGGGAATGCGGTCTTTGGTACCACGTCATTTGGTGAGTTTTTACCTTCTCCATATATACACTGTATTCCTTCTCCCGTCCAGCCTTGTTTTTTCTCATTCTTTCTCTCTTCCCCCCTTTTCACCTCCCCCTCTTTGTTTTTTCCTGTTACCTTTCATCTAGAGATCACTGGGCTCTCAGCTCCCTGTAATCGTGTGGTTGCCTAGTTTCCTGGTGCGGAGGCGGCTCACCACGAAAGCCCTGGACCTGCTATATCTGGACCGAGCTTTAGACTCTCTAGGCCTAGATCAGCTCAGCGATGAAGAAATGAGACGGGTCAGAATTCTTAGCCTCTTTTCAGTAGAGAAACTGCCTCTCTTATGTTGCACAAGTTGCCTTTATGCAACCACAGACTCTCAACTGAAGCAGACTGAAAGGCATTCAGAGGGATCTTGAATCTTTAATGTTTCTCTTCCCCTCCACCAGGCCTGTGACCTTCGAGGGCTGAATCCCAGCCATCTTAGTTCCAGTCAGTGCAGAGAGTGGCTTCAACAGTGGCTCCAGTTTTCTATACAGGTCGAAGGTAAGCCGCGTATGAACTGGATGAAAACACCCTTTACTAAGGTCAAAAAGTTTGTATACAACTACTCACAGTGGAGCTCTATAACCGTCTGGCCCACGCTTGGCATTGGAAATGGTGACCTAAAACTGCTTTACCTGTTGGTGTTGGAAAGAATGTCATTTTACGCCTCATACTGGTATGTGACCAATGGAGCCATGCAGCCACACAAACGTTGCCATGGTGTCAGCATCACTGTATCAAAATGGATGGTTAACAGAGTAAAGCTTTAGTAGTGAAGACTGTTTGTTTAAGGTGCGTAATGGCAGGAGGACGCTCTTTTATAAGCTCCCAGGACAAAAAATAAGTCACCTTGTGTATTTAAGGTGGTAGTAACTTCAGACTCCTGCAGATGGTGTTGCACGAGGCTATAAATCGGGCTTGTGAATAAGAAGTCAATGCAGGTCATTCATAACCAATTTCTGAAAGAACACTCCACAGGGAACTGCATACCATGAACATATGGAGTGGAGTGGCATGCAAGAAGCCTTTGTTAACTTCTGCTCACAAAGCTGCCAGTTACAGGGGGCGAAGAGACACAAAATTTGGACTGTTCGTGACTGGAAACGTTATCTGGTCAGATGAATCTCGTGTCTGGCTGTATGTGAATAATGCTGGGCGTTGTGTTCATTGTAGACCTCAGGAAGCCTTCAAGAAGGACTGCATGCACGTTGTGGTTCAAGCTGGAGGCTCTGTGATGGTCTGGGGGTGTTTTAATTACATGGAAATGGGTCGTTTGGTTGAGGTGACTGTAAATTTAAACCACAGTGCCTTCATTGAGCTGCTCGACAACCAGGTTTTGCCTTTTCATCGCCTTACTGAGGAACATAACATTCCAAGATGACAGTTCTCACGTTCACAGGGCTGCAAATGTGACTGATTGGCATGATGAACATTCAGGAGCATTCACACATCTGGACAGGCCCACAAAATCTCCAGATTTGAATAGTCTTGAAAATTTGTGGGACTACCTGGAACAGCAAGTAAGACGCCAGGGAAGGCATCCACGAAATCTGTACGAACTGCGAAATTCTTTGATGCAAGAGTGGCTGAATATTGATGTCGCCTACATCCAAAAGCTGTTATTCATGCTCGTGGAGCACTATTAGGTACGTTTCAGTCACAGACTAATTTTTTGTCCAGTGAGCTTATTTTGTTGTATAATAGGATTCACCTGCCAAAAGTTGGGAAATTTGATTTCTTGACATCTTTACTGGCAATGGCGGAGTTTCTCCACTGCTGCTCCATCGAAAACAGTGGATTTTACCGTTGACCGCCTATCATCACCACGTGAAGGCCGCAATAGGCTCATATGTCTTATTCTACTGGTTGATTAAATTGGAGATTATACAAGCTGATTATACAAGGAGATTATACAAAAGCGCGAAGTGGCAAAACACAATACACAGTGCACTAGCAGTGTCACATTTAAAACAAAAAACCATCAAAAACATTTGGTACAATAATTTTTATTCAGAATTTCACACACTGTACTGCAATGAAGCATGCAGTCATTGTTGTTTAAGTACAGTATGCTCATAAAAACACTGCTTATCATCAAGAATTTATCACCACAACAATAAACTGTCATCACAATACCCATCTCTAATTTATTAATTAGGAGGGCATTTACATATATCAACAGATGCATCGGTTGGCCAATAAAAGTTGGCAGTATTAAGGTTTCACAGATTTATTGTATCGTTGAGAATCCTGTTAATTAAAGCACTGCTTTGCTCAACCTCTTAAACAGCCGGGGCCCACTGGCAGGCCCAAAGTTTTAATACACACTTTATATAATAAGACACATTTTAATTAATACACCATTTATATCTATAACCCTAGAGTAGCTCAGCCAGTTTACACTAAAATGCCTGTAATTACTAAATAATAAGCCTAAGACAATCAGACAGTTTCAGATGATACAAAATGCAGCTGCCAGAATCTCACTAGGAATAAAAGAAGGAACACATCCCACCATTCTTAAATCCTTACACTGGCCACCAGTCTGTTACAGAATACAGACTTTAAGTTGCTGTTACTGTTCTATAAATGTCTTAATGGTGCAGCATATTTATCTGATCTGCTGTAGCGACATGAGCTGAGCAGAACTCTCAGACAATTAGGAACTGGTCAGTTAGTCCTGCCAAAGGTGAAGACTAAACATGGAGAAGCAGCGTTTGGCTACTATGCAGCTCTTAAATGGAATCAGTTGACAGAGAGCATTAGAAGAGCTCCAACACTGGACACTTTTAAATCCAGACTCAAATCATTCCTATTTGAGCAGCTTTCAGCTCAGTTTAAACACTGTTAGCATTTCTATCCCCTTTTACTTTTTTTTTTATCCTAATCTTACTTTTAATTTTTCATTTTAATTTTTAACTATCCTAATATCTAATTTTTCATTTAAGGATTTTCTCTTTTAAATCTGTCTGTATTTTCTGACTCTGTATTTTCTCATTTATAATAAACTTGCCTTGTTTAGCCAATAATCCAGGGATTTTAAGAGGTTAAAGTAGCTGGTTTTATATTATAATTGAACACACTCCTCCACCATGGAAAATTCTCATATTAAAGATTTTGTGAGTTTCTGCTGTTTGATATTGAAACTTACAGCGATATTTGTCAACATTTGACTACCTAAAGCCTTTTTATTCTGTTATCACAGACTTTTAGCTTCTTCAAACTGATATGGTTGACAGGATGTTCTTATCGGTCAGGCTCTGTTCTGATCTTTCTCATTTTTTCTTGTTCCTCAGAATCGGAAACCTCACTCTTGCTTCACAGCATGGCAATCCTAACACTTAACTACCCTTCAGTCCCAAAGTGAACAAGGAAGGATGCTGCATGGTCACATATCACCATTCAACTGTTTACAGAAGAGGTTTCATTATAAATGACCACTTCACTTTACAGAGTTTACATCCCAGATGTGCTAATAAACAAATAGCCTTCATTTTACATGCCAACATTCCACCCAAAGCGTTTAAGTTGTCTTAAAACATCTGCATTCTGGGCCAACTCCTAAATGTGTCGGACCAGTGATGACTGTTAATAGTCTTTATAGCGTTTGCTGTCTTTGTATTCCCTTTGACTGTGAATATTTTGTGAAAATGTTAACTGACTTCTATACCCTGGAAAGCTACTTTTGTAAATTGGATCAAGTTACTCATAGAAATGTTATTTATTAAAATCACAGACTGAAACATTCACATTTGCGGAACCTGTAGATCTTTGTTTTGTGGAAGTGTTTTCTGGTTTTTGGAACTGAACAGAAGTGGGAAGATCATATCTGATGGCCCTGTTTACTGAGAAGTGCTGTGGCTTCAGGTGAAAACTGAAATATTGACATATAATTGTGGTTAATTATTCAGTTGCCTTCACCCTCATTTGCTGTCATAAGTGGATTCTACTTTATTATTTATTTTTATACTGTGCTTTTTGAAACATCAGCTCTTTGTGGTTCTGCTTAGAAAAACCTGCTGCCTGTCATTGCATTTTTTTTATTGTTCAGTCCAAATTAATTGCAGTTTGACGTCATACAACTTCATGTTAATCTCAGGTTACCACTTTTTTAAGGTCTGCGGTTGGAAATTTTTATGTTGAAATGCTTTCCTATGTGAACATGGGACATTAAAATATTAAATTATGTGAGTTGTGAATCCAGCCTGATCTTTTTTCTTTCAACATTTACATGTGAAAAAAATCATGTGTGAAAGTAAAACCTTCTCTTTCATAATGTAAGAATTAAATTTGCACATGTAAAAATCCAGTTGTCACTAGCAAGAAATCAATTTAAATGTACAAATGAAAAAAATGTAACTTTTATATATAAATAAATATTATTTTTTTACTTGTAAAAACAGAATTGGCACATATTTAAAAATGTTCCTCCCACTAAAACAGGTTGGGGGAAACCCATACATACTTGTTGGTGATAAAGTGCACATGCTGCAATAAAATTCCTACCAATAAAATGTTCAGACATATAAGAATTTTTTTACTTTTCAGATTTCATGTTCTTACAAGCACTAATAAATAAAATAAAAATAAAATTTACTTGATCATATTCAATTTCTGGTATAAAAAGTATATGTAATAATGACACAATAAATTATTAATAAAAACTATGGCTTTGCATGTGACTCATTCCACAAAACTGATGCCAGATGGTCATGCTAATGTGAAAATGTTATCCTATTCTTTTTCTTTAAGTAAAAAATTGCTTTTACAAAATAAAAGACTTCCATCTTAGTAACCATTTTATTAATCATTTTTGTGTCAAATAACAGCACAATCCTATCTTTGAATGTTGCAGACTAACATGGCGCTCTTCGTGGAATGACATATTTATGACTTTGAGCACAACTTGCTTTTGGCAAATTCAAAAATTCAACATTTTTTTGTGTTTTTAATTTGTAGACCTAGGGTATGCATAACACTATAGTTAAAATCATAGTGTACATAAAGTAATACACACATACACACACACATACATACACACACACACACACACACACACACATATATATATATATATATATATATATATATATATATATATATATATATATAAATGCACTCATTGAGCACTTTATTAGGAACATGTCCTTGTTTCTACACTCATTGTCCTTTTTATCAGCTCCACTGGCCATATACTTTCACTTTGTAGTTCTACAGTTACGGATTGTAGTCCATTTATATAAAGCTCAACGCCTATATATCTTGTTGTGAGGTTCTACAGAAGAAAACCGATAAGGAATTTTTTTTCTTTGGTAAACTTGCTCTTGTGTATTCATTCCTCCACCTCCTCCTCCTCCTCCTGCTGCTGTGGGAGCTACGTGACCCGGCAGCCGCTCTGTGTGAAATGAGGAGATTTCAGTTCCTGTTTTCACCTTTTCACTTTGTGGATATAAGTTACTCTCCGGCTAAGCCTCAGAAACTCAGAGCATAAACAAACTCTCCGTCCTCGAGTGGACAGTGTGTGTCCATCCAGACCGGACACCGAGCTCAACTCGACACTCTGAGCTGGATGCTGACTTGTGTGCGAATGTAAGTGTTGAAGCTTTGCGTTGTTTTGCTGTCTGTTTGTCCTCAGTGGAGCAGCTCGGCTCGTTTAAACAGGCCTTCACTGCGCCTTCATTCACTGACACACAGCGACTCAGATACTCGGCAGGAGAGACCGCAGAGGGTCTAACACAGACACGGAGAGTATTACAGAGTCTAAAACTTTCTGTCTCAGCCTTTATATTATCCGCTTGTTGGCCTACAGGATTTTTCGAACTTTCCACCTTAAATGGTGCAGTAGTTAGCCGCTGTAGCATTTAAGGTGGAACGGAAAATTCCAAAACCGGCCAGCAAGAATACAGGTCGGTCTCTAACTCCGTGGTTGTTTGTGCTGTAGCTACGTTTCAGACGTTTAAATAAATGACCCTTGTAGCTGTGTCACTTACAAATAACAGTATAGAGGTCTGCTGCCTACTCATAAAATGATCACAAATTCAAATCCATTTTTCGAAGGTTTTGGTCTAACACTTATATCCATGGTCGAGAAGGGCAAGCGAAGTTTTGTAAGGCAAAATAGTACCCAAATGTTCACTGGTAGTTTTGGATAGTAAATAAAATGTGTATACTTGTGTTACAGTCATGGCGACCCCTGCTTCCTATCACCACCACTGAAAAGAAATCTGAACCGTTTCGCACCAAACCACTCTCAATGACTCTCAATGGCAGGAATTTTGAAAAACTGGTGGAATTCCCCTTTAATGTGGGTGCTGTTCACTCTACAATCCAGACTTGAAATTTTATTTTCTTAGCTCAAGTTCATATTTTATTACATGAGCTAAAGACTTCCAAGTTAACCTGCGATAGTGAGTGTGCACAGTAGAGCTGAAAGATTACTTGTTTTTATATCCAAATCACAATTTTTAAAAATTATAGCCTACATTATCAAAAACATTTTAACTGGGGAAATTTAACCTAATAACACAGAGCTTGTGTACTGCCTGTGGAATAGCTATGCCAAACAGAGGCAACCAAACCCGCATGTGTTGTGGCATCACAACCACAACTTACTGGCAGTCTGGCACGCTACACTCAGGGGTCAAGCCTCAAGATATTCTGTTGTTCTTGGGAGAAAAAAAAATCAGATCTGACCCTCAACTCCTTATATGGCCAGTGCCCAAAGTTTTATTACACACTTCTATAACCTAAGACACTGAAGTCCCACTGAAGTACATTGAAGTCCCTGTCGTTACTAGATAATAGGCCTGAGTATGTAATAAGCCTGGGATTTGAAGGGGTTAATTTATAGAAAATAATTGCAATTTAAATCACGGTTGCGATATTAGTCATAAAAATGGCAGTTAGATATTTTTCCCAAATCAGGCCCAGTGCACAGTAGTGATGTCACTCCTGTAGCATATTTTTGATTGGTGAACCTTCCCTGGTCTCCCCCACTGTTTAAGGTACCACTTTACAATAAGCCTACCCTTTTAAAGGGTTTATGAGTGGTTTGAAATTGGTTTGTTAATAAGCATTTGTAACACATACATATATAAAAAAGGGCGACAGTGAACAGTTTTCTAATGAATATGAATATGTGATGAAGCTAACGGTTTTAATGCTGACTGATGGAGAAGACAAAAGTATAGAATACTATAGAAGTATAGATGAATGCAGACTCACTATTTGGCAAACAACAAACCATTTGCCTTTTTTATTTGTGTGTTATAACTGCTTATTGATGATTTTTAAGATAGATGTACATGACATAATTAACAACAGTATTACATTTTAAAGGGCCCATATCCTAAACTAATTCACTTTTCTCACACATGACAGTAATTTTATGCACCAAAAACAGTCAGAAATGATTTTTACATTGCCAATTTCCATCTCTCTTCACCCGTTAGAATTAAACAGGCTCTTTTTGTTGCTGTGCCTTTTAAAATGATTTGTAAATAAGCTCTCTTCTGATTGGCTACCCTGTACTGTGCCTCAATCAAAAAGCAGTTTGGAGTGAAACACTCCTTAAAACTTAAGCATAAATGGGCGGGGCAAGCTACAATGAATGCAAAAATGGCTTTTTATGTCTGGACTGTATGGACTAGACGTGAATGGTGCCTTTTGAAACTTCAGTTATGTTTACCTACTCAACTTACATACTAATATAATTTTTTAAAAAGTGAGGAATTTGCTTTTACAAAATATGAGCCCTTTAACCTTTGAAGACTCTGTGCTAAGAGTTTGTGTCTAAATACAGTATGTAGGCTAGTTATGTTTGCAGCTGAGTAATAAAATCACTGTGAGAAAACAGCAATAGCAGTTCATCTGCTAAGCAGATAATGGTCTAACGTTACTGATATGGGTCTTCCCTTTTCTTTTTAGCTTTCTCTTCCTTCTGCTGACTGATCCGGCTGACTGACCCAGTGTAAAAATAGCGTTTAAGGCAGAACCATTGCTAAGCATTGAGAAACGCAGTGAGGTTCTGCAGGATGGAGGAAGCGTACACGGCCTTGTATCAGGAGTTTCTCCGGCTTCAGGCACTCTGCCTGAAACAAGCTGAAATGCTACAGCGTCTTACTGAAGCGCTCAGAAGACAGCAAGGTACCTGCACACAGTGAAAACAACTCATGGTTCTGTTATAAATCCAACTTGGGCTGCATGATAAATCATATTTTTATCATTATCATGATAGGAGTTTCCATGATCAACACATTGTTAAAGCCCCTCCAGTGAAAATCAAGTTTTTAAAGTAGTCAACATCATGGCTGAGTATTTCCATTATGAAACTACAGTGTACCAGTGACAGTCTCAAAAATGCAGATTCAGACAGCCAGGGTTTTATACGTCACGCTCTTTCTCACTGCAGTGACACTGGTGGTATGTTAGTGTGTGTCACTCACTGTCCACTCTATTAGACACTCCTACCTTGTTGGTCCACCTTGTGGATGTAAAGTCAGAGACGATAGCTCATCTGCTGCTGCACAGTTTGTGTTGGTCATCCTCTAATCCGTCATCAGTGGTCACAGGACGCTGCCCACAGGACTCTGTTGGGTGGATATTTTTGGTTTTCAGTCCAGCGACACTGACGTATTAAAAAACCCAGCAGCACTGCTGCGTCTGATCCACTCACACCAGAGCAACACACCACCTAACACCTAACCACACAACTAACACACCACCACCTGACCATTGAAGAACAGGTTAAGAAAGTATGCAGAGAAACAGATGGACTACAGTCTGTAACTGTAGAACTACAAAGTGCTCCTATATGGTCAGTGGAGCTGATAAAATAGACAACAAGTGTAGATACAAGGAGGTGTTCCTAATAAAGTGCTTGGTGAGTTCCCCCCTACAATGACTCAGGCTATAATTTCTGTTCTTCTTAAAAAAGGAAAAGACCCTTTTAAGGGAGAGTGATATCGGCCTGTGAGCTTGCTCTGTTGCGACTATAAGATCCTAACTAAAGTTCTAGCTAGTAGACTGGAGTCGGTTATGCATACAGTAATACACCCAGACCAGACCGGTTTTATTACGGGACGACGCTACACCCCAGGCTTCGGTCCGTACCAATAAGATTATTTCTCAGTATTTCCCTGTGCGTAGAGGGACTAGACAAAGTTGTCTGCTGAGTCCTCTCTTATTCAATCTTGCCATCGAACCACTGGCTGTGGCACTAAGGGGTGCTGGGGACCTCATGGGTATCGTTAGGGGAGGTTGCACTCATAAACTGTCTTTATATGCAGATGACCTTATGCTCTATTTGTCTAATCCTGACATCTCTATTCCTAAGGCATTAGAAATTATTTCTAACTTTGGCAAGATCTCTGGATATAAAATTAATCTTACTAAGAGTTTGCTCTTCCCTATCAATGACCAGGCCCGAGAGATGTCTTTCAAGTCATATCCTTTGAAAGTAACCTGTGACACCTTTACATACCTTGGAGTATCAGTAACCCATAGATACAGTGATCTGTTAAAAAGTATAACTTTAAACCAATATTGGAGAAGACTGAATAAGACTATCCCACGGATAAGGAAGGCATATCTGGAGAGACAGAAAGAAGATGGAGGCTTGGCACTCCCAGACTTCCTACAGTACTACTGGGCAGCTAATATTCATAAATTAACATACTGGGTCTCAGAGTACTATGAGGGAGGTGGATCGGTGTGGGCAGAAATGGAACAACATTCTGCACATCCTGTGTCCCTGTCTTCTTTAGTGTGTGCCCCATTGCCACTCAGCAAACAGCGCCTTACAAATAACCCCATCGTGAGCAGCTCGCTTCGAATGTGGTCGCAGTTTAGGACCCACTTTAAGCTCAGAGAGGCTTTGCCCTCTCTTCCAGTTGCTGCAAATGCGCTTTTCTCACCCTCACTTACGGACACAGCATTCAAATTTTGGTACAATAATGGTTTAAAACGGATAAAAGATCTTTTTAAGCACAGTATATTTATGTCTTTTGAGCAGTTAGTGAGTGAATACAGTATCCCCCGCTCACATTTTTTCAGGTATTTACAGATACGTACCTTTGTTAGGAAGCATTTCATTTCTTTTCCATTGCCCCCATCAAATAGTTGGATAGATGAGTGGTTAGATGGGGAACCAAGTCAAAAGGGAGTTGTGAGTAGATTGTACTCGGCTATTCAAACGTTTGCTTCACCGTTGCTTAACCATATTAGGGCGGCATGGGAGGAGGACTTTGGCTATAAGATTTCAGATTATTCCTGGCTGCTGGCAATTAAGAGGATACATTCAGCTTCTATTTGTATCAGACACGGTTTACTCCAATTTAAAGTGTTGCATAGGCTCCATCTTTCTAGGAGCAGGCTTGCCAAGATATATCTGGACGTAGACCCAACTTGCTCCCGATGTCAACAGGCTCCGGCCACCTTTTATCATATGTTCTGGTCATGCCAACTGCTGGTACAATTCTAGTCCTCTATTTTTGAGACATTCTCCTATATTTGTAACAAAGAGATCAGTCCTGGCCTGGAAATTGCTATATTTGGGGTGGCCCCTGATGGGCTGGCGATGCCAGCTGCCCATTCCGATGCCATAGCCTTTGCATCCTTACTGGCTCGTCGCCTTATTTTATCTAATTGGAAATCAGTTTACATTCACAAAGTCAATAAAAATATTTGAATAATAATAAAGTGCTTGGTGAGTGTGTGTATGTGTGTGTATGTATATTGTAGCCTGACTGCCAAAACAAATAGAAAAAGCTATTCAGGGAACCGTGACTGTGCACTTCACTCCGGCTACAAATCTTCCACAAGGGGGGCGCTGTTAGCAGTCAAGTAGCTTTTGCTTCATAATAGCTACTTTACGAAAGCTTCATATGAGTCTTTGTTTAGCCTTACAGTGCATAAGAATGTGCTGTCAGTTCTGATATAAGTAACTGGTTTTATTTTGCACAAAAGTGAATGTTGCTTTTGTGTTTTCTTAGGTTTGTTAAATTTGTTAGATTCTGCATTTTCAGCAGAAACCGTGAGAGGCACACTATTTTAATAATAATTTATTGCTTCTCGTATCATCAGGGTGGTATCCAACAGCTTTTTTGTCCATATCGTGCAGCCCTAAATCCAACCTGTCAGAGTCTGTTGCAATGAACCTGTTTAAATCCCAAATTCAGGTCTACCTCCTGTTTCTAATGGAGACCTTGAGGACTTGGTTTCTATCCCAATCCAGTGCACGGATGATGAGAACGTCACTTATCCTAAGGGTCATGCACAAGCAGCTCAAATGCAGACCCTTGCACTACACAGTAGAGGTACAGTGGATTGCATTTGTTTATTTGCTGGATTTCTGGTATCACAGTAGATAAGTTTTATTGAGAATATTGTTTATTTGCAATTATAGCCTATATATATCATTTAAAGTGGCACAAAATCTGTTCTAAACATGCTTAGTGTCTCTTACTGTATCTTAAAGGAACCTTTGATAAACTGCAGATGTTTGATAGCGCGCTCTTTGAAATGTTTTTTCATTCTAGACAGACAATGAAGAAGGAAATCAGATAGGGGAAACACAGAGCCTATATAATCATCTGACTATGACGATTCATACCTTGCAAGGAGGAATTGCAGTGCATCTAAGAATCGATTATGTTTCCCATCCCTAATGCATGCTGGGTACTGTTTTGTAGTGTACTGTAGTGAGAGTAAAAAAACACAAAAATGATATGACTTTGTGAGCTTTCTCAAACCAGTGAGGCTGAGGAATGACATGACAAATAACGTTAAGTGCTAGTTTTAGTCTGAAATGCCTTTTTTAGTGTGTAAATTTAATCAGCATCAGCGCAAAGCAATCAATTGCATTCAACTGCTGTCCATCTCGGGTCATAAGTGAAGAACACAGTCTTGAAGGGAAAAAAAATATTAAAGTTTATTTAATAAAAAGGTTTATTAAAATGGTTTATTGAAGCTGTCAGCTTTGTCAGTACAAACCAGGGGTTTGTAGACACCTGCTTATACAGTGTTTCTTCTGCAATGAAGGGTATTAATAGAGAGTTTGTGCTGCAGTAACAGCCTTTAGTGTTCTGGGAAGGCTTTACACTTACATATTGCTGTGAGGATTTGATTGAGCATTTGTGAGGTCAGGTACTGTTGTTGGATGGTCAGTCCTGGACACTCCAACTCATCCCAAAGGTATTGGATGGAGCTCCATCACTCCAGAAAACTGAGCTTCACTGCTCCACAGCCCAGTGCGGGGGGCCTTTATACCCCTCTAGCCCATGCTTGGCTTTGCCATGGTGACCTTAGGCTCATGTGCAGCTGCCCCAGAGCCATTCTATTCATCAGTGCTTTTCTATGGAGATTATACAAGCTGTGTTAGCAATGAGTGGCTTTAATGTAGCTGAATTCAGTGGGTAGAGGGACTGTCTGGATACTTTTAGACATGCTGAAGGTGTATCAGGTAGGATCTCTCAAGATAACCCCAAGGTTTTTTCAGCTACTTACCTAAGGCATGATCATAGTGCCATTTAGGAGCTACAGTAGTCCATCAGGTATAATATGCTCATTTAAATGTTTTCTATTAAAGTTTGCTTGCGTAACCAGTCATTTTGCCTACTTGTTTTGTACCAACTCCCTGAATCCTTATTTCTGTCAGTTTCTGTTCTTTGGGTTTCAGGTGATACTGAGATCTCTCCCATTGCTGGAGCAATGGACAGACTACAGCTCGACCCGACGTGGAGGGAGGCAAACCTGAACAGCCATGATGAGACAGTGTCAGTGGATTCTACAAGACAAAAAGGGACCCTGGAGCCCAGCATATTGGAGGAGTTAAGGCAGGCAGAGCAACGGTGGCATAGCAGCCAACCACCTAAACCGACGCAGGTAAATAAACATCAGTTTATGTTGATTTTTACTTCCTTTTGTGTCTGCTTATGAATAGGCTAATTCTTTTTTTTTGGAACTTCTAAATGTAGATTTCCTGAATTTCCTGGTAAGAAAGCTAGTAGAGTTCCTGATACAGTTTGTGTATGCTGTGCATTTTACTGTCATAAAAATGAAGATCAGTGACTCTATGTACTTGTATGTATGTGAAGACAGATTTTGTAGTTCTTAAAGAACATTTGTCTCTGTGCCAGGTTTGCAATTACATTTCCAAAAACATAATAATTACTGAAAAAATGGCATCACTAATTAACTTTTATTTAGTATTTGAATGACCTTTCTACCACTTTATTGGTCTGTTTTTGGATCGCTTGCTTCTACTCTGGTGCGTTTACAGCAGTGCTGATTAATGTCAAATGAAACTTTAAATAAGTAATAAACTTGATTGTGATCACCACTTTTTCAGGCATTAATACAGAACATATAAGGAGTAGATTGGCGAAAATCAAATTTGCACAGTTTTCTACTTACCACAGAAGTCCAAATATTTGCTTCTTTAGTTTAGAACTGGACCTGCGAGACTACCATCACTAACAAACACTAGAACTCAATAGTCACCTAAACAGCCCAAATAAATTTTCAAAGAAATACATCCCAAAACTTCACTCAACCCAGTCAAACCACATCCAGGTCTTCATTTAGGTCTCAAAGACGAGTCAATGTGGTTTAAAACACAGTGCCTACAGTACCCACTGTAAAATGAACTTCACCAATACAGGCAGCCATTTCAGACCACACAAGTGCTGGTATTTACAAAGCAGGACTGATCTTGGATCAGATTCCTTCACATTTATTTTGGTCAATGTCACTAAAATTCAATCTGGATCATCCTGTTACTCATGAGGTGGTTTTTGACCCTGTTGTCTAATGTGACTGCCTTCAGTGTTCATCTACACTGTGAGGTTTTGTTCATTTTCATAGTTCACAGTGTCCTGAATCACATTGACAAGTATAAGTAACCTTTATGAAGACCTGCATGTGGTTTGAGCGTATTGAGAGAAGTTGTGGTGATATATTTTTACAGGAACAAGTTAGGCTATTTGGGTGACTGTTGAGTTTTTATTAACGGTGTTAGCCTCACCACTCCAGTTGTAAACAGAAGAAGCAAAATTTGGACTGCTAAAATGTCTTTTGTGGCCAACCGCTTTTGGATTAAGCAGAAAATTGTACATATAGATTTTTTCACCAGTCTTTTTCTTTAAACATGCTTAAACATATATTGTGTATTGTATGCTGCAGAGACCCTGGTCCTCCTCCTTCATGAACAGTGAGATGCTGAGCCAGGCCGGGGGGCTGCTGATGTCGGGGGTTACACTGCAGTCTCAGGTGTGTGAGTTCTGCCATGCTGTGTTTCCTGGACACACCACCACCAGGGGAGAGTTTCTTCGCCATCTGACAACTCATACCTCATGAATGAAACACACTGCTAAAGTACGGGGCTTCTCTGAGTCATTAGTAACCTTCTGGATGTTTTTGTAGCCATAATAGATTAATTTTATCAGGACTGTTGGTTCATACCAGTGAAACATATGTTACATAAGGTGTTCAGCATCAGTACAGAGTAATGAAGTGTAGTGTTGAATTTTTTTACTCAGATTCACAAAGGCATCTGTGATCTCTAAAAGACTTAAATGTAAATGTTTTTAGTGCAAAAATGCCCAATGCCTTTATTGCAGTTATATTCATACTTTGGCAAGAAATAGTGAAACGTAAATGCTGCTGAACTACACTGTAAGCTGTTAAATGTGCTCTATTAAGGGTGGCCTCGTGATAAAACAGTGTGTTGAAGTTTCTGTTCTGTAATATAATGTACACATGTTATAATATATAAAAACAAATCCTGGAAAAAGTGTTTTTCCTCTACTGTAAACAGCATGGACACTACTTGTGCTAACTGCTAATGGAACTCAGTTCTCTTTGGTATTTGGTACGGCCCCCTTTTGCTTTAAAGGGATATGCAAAGGGAGGAAATTTCATCCTGAAACTGAGTGCCAGGGAAGTTATCTGCCTTTGCGTAGCACTTCATGCTTTCTAGGCATGCTTAAAGTAGTTTTGGCTTGTTAAAGACTGAATTTCTTTCCCTTCTTAATCCAGAAGGTTTACATGTTTTGCTATCCCAGCAAGTAGAGATTTTGCCCTTCCGATATGACATCAATGCCTGATCCGCTGATATCGAGTACCAATACTCATACTAACTCTATCTAACTTAACTACACAACAGGTGCCTGAGATTTATACAGTCTACAGTCAGTATTTTATTTTGGTGAAAGTGGTGTTCTATGTCACTAATAAAACATACTAAGCTTGAATAAAACTATGTTCAATCTTTGCAGGCTCATCTTGTTAAGGGGCTGTTGTTCCACATGTTCTCTGAGTTTCTTCACACTCTTACCTGGTCCATAGATCTAAAACACGTTTATTTTCATGTTCTGGACGTTCAGTTTGCTTTTCAGTGTCAATCATATCAGTTATCAGAGTTTTGCCTTCCATCCTGTCAGCATTTACCAGTTGAATGCCTCAGCATTCTCAGAAAATTCTTTTGAGGGACTCACTATCATAGCCCCCAATCAGAAGGAAACTTCTAGAGAAGTTTTGCTCTGTTTTTTTCACGTTTGCCACTTGCTCAGAGGAGAAGGGGCCAGCAAGGAGCAGATTTCTCAGATCGGAAGGCACTCACTTTTGGCTAGGTTACCGTTAAGGAGAAGTTTGAACATAACGTGCACGAACTTTGTGAATAGTTGCTATATCTGGCTATAAACTTGTGTATTGCCCTACTTTGTTGCTGTTAGCCATGTAGACTTCAGTTTACAAACTAACAACCTCTGCTAACTTGCAAGCTAGCATAGTAAAGTGGTGAAGTTGTATCAGCAGTCTTGTATAACAGCTGGAGTAGTTTGCACCCTGAAGCTTAGCAACTCGAATATTATAGTTTTGAAATGTTAAGCATTTTAAAGTAGTTTACCAACAGCTGCCTTTTAAACAGCTTTGTTCACAAGTGTGTTTGATTTTGCAAAGGGAAACGTACGGAGCCCCGTTGGTGACATCCTGTATAATTAAACATAATGCGTGGCCACACTATATGTACACATGGCAATAAGATCCTGATGTGTTGCCACAACTTAGTAAGGCATGGGAACAAGATCCTGAGGCGTTGCCACAACTTAGTAAGGTGTGGGAACGAGATATTGATGCATAGCCATGACTTAGTAAGGATAGAAAGCATAGGAATGAGATCTTGATGTGTAGCCACGTTTTGGTAAAAAATGGGAACGAGATCCGGATGCGTGGTCACGACTTAGAAAGGCATGGGAACGAGGTCCTGATGTGTAGCCATGACTTACTAAGGTGTGGAAACAGGGTCATGATGAGTGGCCATGATTTAGTAAGGCGTGGAAACGAGATCCTAAACTGTGGCCATGACTTACTAAGGCGTGGGAACAAGATCCTGATGCATAGCCACAACTTAGTAAGGCATGAGAACAAGAGCCTGATGCGAGGCCACGACTTAGTAAGGCGTGGGAATGAGATCCTTATGCATGGCCACGACTTAGTAAGATGTGCCTTACTAAGTTGTGGCCACAACTTAATCATCTCATTCCCATGCCTTACTAAATTGTGGCCATGTAATATTTTATTTATACAGGATGTCACCAGCGGGGCTCTAGTAACGTGTCAGAATGTAGCAATTTCTTGGCAAGTTCTGCTCCTGAAGATGACACTTGCGTTCACTCAGTCCCTCCTTTCTCTGAGACCTCATTTAATAATCTTCACTTGAGCTTGTAAAGTAATGAAGCGGCCCTTAAGATGGCGTTGGGGATTCACGCTGATGAGAAATAATAAGGCCAAGTAGACGAGGTCTTGTTAAAAGTGGCATTGAAACAGGCGACTGTTTTACTGATGGAGGTCTGTGTGGCCTTCTCGCACATGGTGAGCTCAGTAATGCTCCGTGGGCCTACTTCAGCTTCACACCAGGCCAATCCCAGGGTACTTTTATTACCGGCTGCGTCACACAACATGCCACTGTGACTTTGTTGTTATTACTGGAGTATAACTGGCATATTACTGGAAGGTCTTACTGGAATTCATAAGTGGAATGAATGTTGCTTTCATCTGAGAGTTCCATAGTTGTTCATTTTTATTACCCCAAACATCAAGCTATTTTAAATTTCAAATAACGCGGTGAGCAGGTTAAAAATATTAAAGAACTTTCAAGAAAAATGAGGTGGAAGTGCAGAATGATCTTAGTAATCTTAGAATCTTAATAAGCTTAATAGTTCTCCACTAGGTGGCATGAACACACTACGAAGTCCCATATACTCTCAAACAGTGCGCACTCTCAAAAATATAGGAATAAAAAGATAATAAAAGGGTTCTGTTCAGGATTTCCTATGAAAAAACACCTTTTTGTTTCTTTAAAGAGCCTTTCTTTGGATGAGTCCTTTATAGAGATTTTACATTATGTGTATCTTGAAAATGTCTTGAAAAATCTGATCAGTTATAACATTAAAACCACCTCCCTCTTTCTACACTCTTTGGCCATTTAATCAGCTCCACTGACCATATAGGAGCACTTTGTAGTTCTGCAGTTACAGACAGTAGTCCATCTGTTTCTCTGCATACTTTGTTACCCTGTCCTTCAGTAGTCAGGACCCTCACAGGACCACCACAGAGCAGGTATTATTTGGATGGTGGGTCATTCTTAATACTGCAGTGACACTGATGTGGTGGTGGTCTGTTAGTGTGTGTTGTGCTGGTGCGAGTGGATCAGACACAGTCTGACTCAGTGCTGCTGGAGTTTTTAAACACCTTAGTGTTGCTGCTGGTCTGAGAACCAAAGACATCCAGCCAGCAGCGTCCTGTGGGCAGCGTTCTGTGACCGCCGATGAAGATGAGGATGACCAACACAAACTGATGAGCTGTCGTCTAAGACTTTTCCTCTACAAGGTGGAATAACAAAGTAGAAGTGTCTAATAGAGTGGACAGTGAGTGGACACAGTGTTTAAAAACTCCAGCATCACTGCTGCGTCTGATCCACTCACACCAGCACAACACACACTAACACACCACCACCACATCAGTGTCACTGCACTGCTGAGAATGACCCACCACCCAAATAATACCTGCTCTGTGGGGGTCCTGACCATTGAAGAGCAGGGTATCAAAGTATGCAGAGAAACAGATGGACTACAGTCTGTAACTGTAAGACTACAAAGTGCTCCTGACAAAATGGACAAGGAGGTTTTACTGTTATGGCTGATTTGTGTGTTTCTCATGAGGATTTTTTGAGGCTGCATGCAATCAAATCCTTACAGCAATGTTCCAACAACTAGAGTAAAGCATTCCCAGAAGAGTAGAGGCTGTTACTGCAGCAAAGACGGACAAACTCACTATTAATACCCTTCATTTCAGAAGGAACGCTGGAGTCTGCATCTCTAATTTCCTCTCCATCCAATACTTATCATCATGACTAATACTGTTAAAATAATGGACTCAGCATGATTCAGCCACAAAACACTGCGCGAGCCATTAACATCAACCTATTAGCGCTTTAGCATTATAATGCAAAAAAATGAAAGCATAATTGCACATCAGAAAGCACATGAACGTCCTCGAGCTCCGTGTGATTTTATCATAGTCGTGATGTTCTTGCATGCAGCCTGTCCACTCTCGGGCGCTCGGCGGCGCGCGCTATATTTAGCCCTGCTTCTCCCGGCTGATGACGTCGTGGCGGATCAGGTGTGAACCACCGACGTCATCTGTTCGCGGGAGCCAATGAGAGCGGAGGGAAACACCTGGTGGCGAACGTGGGCGGCGAATCAGCGCGCGGGATGAAAACAAGATGGAACGGAACGTAATCGCCATGAAAAGTGCCATAAACAATAGTGAAGGGTATTAAAGGGGAACTCCACCAAAATAAAATTCTGCATGATATAACGGCTTAGATGTGAACAGAGTCATTCAGAGTGCTTTGGTGTGAAATTCTCTGTTCTAGAGAAACTTACAGAGTCAGAATTGTTCACAGTGGTGGTGATAGGAACCAGACGTCCACCTCTAAAAGCTTCTTTACAGAAAGTTACTATATGAAATGGTAATGAATACACTGCTTGATGACTGAGACACAGAAGGTTTTGGCCTAAAAGGTGTAAAAAGCCAGTTGTTGTGGAGGGATACATGCAGGGCATTGTGAGGCAAAATAGTCCCCAAAGAAACATAATTTTTCAAATATATCACCTTTTTTACCATCATCAACAATCCATATAAAACTCAGAAGACGTGTAGGTTCACTGGTGGTTCTGGATAGTAAATAAAATGGCTGTATTTGTGTTGTAGTCATAGTGACCCCTGGTTCCTATCACCGCCACTGTAAATAAATCTGAACCATTTCACACCAAACCACTCTGAATCACTCTGTTTACACCTTAATTTATTTCTGCTTAAAATGAAAAGTTTTTTGTTCTTTTTACATTTTATTTTTCTTGTATTTTACATCAACCACTGAATTATGTAGTGCTTTTGAAAACTCGTGAAATTGCCCTTGAACAGTAAATTTGTCCCACTTTGCTGCAGTAACAGCCTCTACTCTTCTGAGAAGGCTTTACACTAGATGTTGAACATTGCTGGGAGGATTTGATTGAGCATTAGTGAGGTCAGGTTCTGATGTTGGATGGTCAGTTCTGGATCACTCCAGCTCATCCCAAAAGTATTGGATGGCGCTCCATTACTCCAGAGAACGCAGCTCCACTGCTCCACAGCCCAGTGCGGGGGGCCTTTATACCCCTCTAACCCACACTTGGCACTGGGCATGATGATGTCAGGCCCATATGGGGCTGCTTTCGTTCTATTGGCAATGCTTTTGTCTGGAGATTGTTGTCAATGTTAAGCTAAAACATACATTGTATCTCCATTTATGTTGTTTTAAAATTTCTTTTCAATATAATTTCAAAATGCCAGCTGCACTTTACATTGTGTCAGTATTTCCTGAATAGAAATGATATAAAATTATTAGCAAAAAAGTTTTGTTTTTTTTTTGTTTTTTTTTTCTTGCCCTGCGATGGACTGGCGACCTGTCCAGGGTGTATCCTGCCTTCCGCCCAATGACAGCTGGGATAGGCTCCAGCACCCCACCGCGACCCAGAAGGATAAGCGGTTTAGATGATGTATGTATGTATGTAAGTTTTTTTCTTTCCCATTTAAAATTATAATTTTGGAGATGTCAGATTTTTTTTTCCAAGAGTGACAAGCTGTATCAGCAGTAGGAGCCCATAACAAGGAAAATCACATTTCCTCACTTTTTTGAAATAAAAGAGTTTGATTTAGTATATAAACAT